TCACCTTTAAATTTATACTTAGTTTTCGGTACCTTAAGGAGCTGCTGATTGGTTACATGCAAGCAACTTTAGTTTGTGTGTCAATATTTACATCAGCAAATAGAAAAACGCTGCAAATCCACACAAAACACTATAAAGTGAGGAAAAAACAAAAAACAAGTGTTTCTGGGGACACAATAACGTGATGGAAACCAAAACATGTGAAGGCTCACACTGAGACATAAACGAAGAGGGTTCATCAGTGTTGTGGAGGTAAAACATGATTTAATCACCATTCATAAAACGCTGTGGCTACATGTTTGCTAAAGCGCTATACAAATACAGGCCATTTACCATTAGCCATTTATTTTTAGCTTGTCACATCCGCTTCTGCTCTATCACGTTAACATTTCCCGAAAAACGTTTTGTTTCATGATTTTTAAATTTTGCAGGTTTTTTAATTCCTGTTGTGTTTTTGCAGCATTTTCCTATTTGCTGGTGTTTTCTTAAGTTGCAGTGTATTTGACCTCTCAAGGCCACCATAGAAAAACATCTACATTCTAATAAAGTCAAATCTGTTTAAATGTCTCCCCTCACTCACCGCTCTTCTTCATGGGGTAGCACCTCTTGAGGTCGTCGCAGGTCCTGGCAGGATGTTTCTTGCTGCCGTCTGGGCTCTTCATGTTGTCGATCTGGCTCTTGAGGGCTTTCAGGGTGGCTTGAACACCGGGGTCGACGGGCACTATGGTGGAGGCATTACTGTTGGGCAGAGCTTCGTCCTCGCTGAACTCAGGAGGAGGTGGCCCAGAGTCGTAATCCTGGGGGCCGCCGAATAGGTCATCCACAGCTGCCATGGGACGTCCGGGAGGGCCTGGAGGACCTGCGGGTCCGGGTTCTCCGGGAGGGCCCTGCGGGTTTTGGAATAGTAGTGTGAAGACTGTACTCTTTGGGGTTTTTATTTACACATTGAAATTTTGCCCATCCCCTATTCCCTATGTACCAAACATCTGTTGAAAAGATGTTCTGCATTTTAACAAACATTCTCATCTGGCTCCTTTTTATGAGCTTTGCACACACTTTTTGCTGCGTAATGAGACAATACCTCTGGTCCAACTTCTCCTGTGATCCCACGAGTTCCTGGAGGTCCCATTGGTCCAGGCAGTCCTATGTATCCTTCTTTTCCAGGAGGCCCGATAGGTCCAGGAGGTCCCTAAATCATAAGGAACCGTTAGCCTCAAATATGAGAAATTAATTCCAAAGTTATAGCTGATATGAAGATTATTCTCTTCCTCGACACGAATGAATCGGTGGCAATTACCCTCGGTCCACTGGGTCCAACAATTCCTGGAGCTCCCTGCTCACCAGTTGTGCCCTAAAAGCAATAAATCAAATTTATTCGTCTGTTTAATGCACTTGAACTCGATGAACACAATCTGTTGATGATACTCAAGTGGGAAAACTCAGCTAATGGTACCATTTGTTTTGTTCAGCTGAATTTTTGTGAAACAAAGTGTCCACTTTAGGGCACTGCCAAGAGTAAAGTAAATACACTACGTTTTCTAATTTAGCTTATAGCTGTCAGTAACTGGGTCATGAGGGGTGGGTTGATGCGATAATGACAGACAACATTGTTAGCAAAAAACGGAAATGAAGCTGCGCTCATTTACAAGCTCTGCATTAAAATGAAAGAGAATTATGTTCAAATAAAAAATTAAAGATCCTTTTGATCACTGTCTGATTTGCATTTCAGAGCGCGGTTGGCAAAGGTGGAATAAGAGAAGAATACTCCACTGTACTGTATGCAGTGGGTCGGAAAGCCTCTGAGATGAAGCAGAAGTCATCCGAGTCATCATCACTTTTACTTACTGGAGGTCCGGGGAGACCCTGCAAACCAGTGAAGCCTCTGTGTCCCTTCTGGCCTCTCTCTCCATGATCACCCAGGTCACCCTTATCTCCTCTCGGCCCTTGGGGTCCCTGAGTTATAAAAGATTTAGGGCATTTCATAATTACGGTCATGAAATGATGAAGATTGCTTTTACTGCTGTTCTGCACTGAGATCCAAATGAATATTCATGGAAAGCTAACTGAAAAGGTAACTTACTTTCATAAAACAGATCGTTTCACATAACCACAAGCTGAAGACTCACCACTAATCCTCTCTTTCCAGCTGAGCCAGGTGGTCCAGGAGGTCCTCTTGAGCCCTGAAAACGAGCAAAATCATTAGAAAGCCCTCAGGGAACACAGACCTCTGCAAACACTGAGTCCATCCAGCCTTCTGGTACTGAAACACATTATTCAGTTACTATTAATTAAGGGTTTCAATTAAATCTGCCTCCAGAATGTCCTCATGTGCCCTCGGTACATCTGTTAATACACCCTGCACATGAACAGAAAAAAAACAACAAACACTTACAGGCTCTCCTCTCCTTCCAGCATCACCTGGGGCACCAACAGGACCGGGAGGTCCAGGAAGTCCCTGAGGACCAACAAAGCCTTCTGGACCAGGATCTCCTCGGTCTCCCTGGAAATTTAAAAACGTAAGTAAGTGTTAGCTACCTGCAACATCTTTATTTTTTCCCCTTTTCTAATCATTTTTTAAATTTCTTATCTATAAAAAAAAAAATCTAATTTTGGCATTGCTCACCAAAGTTTAGCAGTCATCATCAAAACATTCACAAACAACCCTGGTTAAAAATACATTTCTTCATTTGCAGACACAATAAATAACACCAAATTAAGCAATAAGTCAAGAGGAACCAAGAGCAGTTTTTGTCCATTCCCAACGAACAGAAAAGAGGAATCAAGCACCTCACAGATCTTGTCGCCCAAGTCAGAATATTTTCCTCATTTTCTAATGTTAAACTAATATTGTAACTTATGTTTTTCTATTCAATCCTTCCTAAAATAACATCTTTTTCTATTCGTAACATCAGGTTTAGACCAATGTATCAAACTTCAGCTCAGTCTTTTCAAATGCTAATATTTTTGCCATTTCAACAGTCCATTTTTGGATTGCTGGTACCTCCTCAGGTTCTTTGTCTCCAGGAAACACACAGATCCTTCAAGACCTTTGCCTACGCTGGAGAGGATAGTTTGGAATACCTGTGCATCCCATACTAAGGTACAAGATCTTTTAAGATAAGAGTTATATCCCTCCAGAAACCTTAGATTAATATAAGATGAGCACTTTTTGCAATGTCATATTTTGATCCTTTCTGCGTCTTACCCTTTGTCCAATAACACCATCCTTTCCTGGTGGGCCATCTGATCCTGCAGGACCCTGAGGACCAGACAAAGAAAAAAACAAAAACAGAACATTTAGACAGCTTTGCTAGCGTTAGTTGGGAACCACAAACACTTTAAAACCTGCACTTACATCAGGACCAGGATCACCACGAGGTCCATTAGCACCAGGAACACCGACTGGACCTGGAGGGCCTTTATCTCCAGGCGCTCCTGTTGAGCCCTGCTTTCCTGGGGGACCCTAAAAAAAGAAAACAGAAAAGTCACAATACAATAAAAAGAACACGAATGTCAAGTTTAGACTTTTAAGCTAGTAAGTAACAAAGCTGGTACACAGCAGATATCGGATTTGATACCAACCGCTGGTCCTGGGAGACCTGGTGGCCCACGCTCTCCTCTCTGACCAGGAAGACCTACAATGCCTCTCTGCCCTGTAGTTCCAGCTGGGCCTGGAGGACCATTAGGACCCTAAAGCAGACAACATTAATTTAAATACTCTTAAAGGCAAACAGAAGAACAAGCAACAAGGAATTTCTAAAAAATGTATGAGCTGGGACGATTAAAAAAAATATTTAAATAAATCAAGTTTTTTATTAAAATTGTGACAAACAAATAAAAATAAAATTGACTTTACCGTAGGGCCATCCTCTCCAGAGTCCCCTTTGTCTCCTGGGCTACCTGGTGATCCTGGAGGTCCACGTTCTCCTTGTCGTCCAGGGGGTCCATGATCTCCACGAAGTCCAGGAGGACCCTCTTTTCCTGGAGGTCCCAGGGGTCCCGCTTCTCCTAAAGGACCCTGATAAGACCAGTTACAGTCACAAATATTTTCATGTGGTTTCATGGGACGTGTTGTGCTACAATACATAAAAGCTTATCCCTGATCCAAGTGGTCACTGAAAACCTTTAAAGTTAAAAAGGAAAAAAAAAATTCCAACACATAAAAAAGAAATTTCAGACGAATACTTTTTCTCTTTAGAAAACAAAACAAAATCCTAGAGGTGCATATCTTGTACATTTTTGTAATCTCTATAATTATCATAGATGATGACAGAAATTAGTAGTTATAATATTTAACTCTTTCCTCTGTTATTTGAGTGCTTTTCAGTCTTAACTACAATGGTGATGTGATACCTAGACAGTAGGAAAACAAAGCCGGTAAAATTATTTGTCTATCATTTCACACAGCCTTAGCTGATTCTGTTGTTTGACCCACGTTTGAACCAGGTGATGAAACCAGCAGGACAATCTCAGGCTGGACATCGCCAGCTCCTTTAAACATGCACAAAGGCTGCATTATGTATTCAGTAAAGTAAGTAAAAAGTTGATACCACGTTTAAATAAAACTTTTCTTTGTCAGGGTCACCATATTGGTGCCGATAGTTTAAAGAGACTTTTGAAACAAGGATCCAGACTTATTGTAAAGCTAATGCTTTACAATAAGTCTGGATCCCTGGATCCTTGAATTTTTGTCATATGACAAAATTCACAGCATTTAGCCATTCTGTGTGCCATGCCTTCATTTACTTCATCTTTGTCAGCAGGGCCACCTGAGGAAAACAAATGTTGCTCTGTATGTTGGTACAGATTAAAAAAGAGAAATGCGAAGGAGGGGAAGTGGTTTGACAGATGAAGGACACGGCAAGAGGGGGATGGAAATGTGTGTATGGATCATATCCTGCCACCAGTTTTGTGATCTTTTCTGGCCTGTTTTTTCTTTCTATACAAATAATATTAAAGAATTGATCACAGAAAAGAACAATGATGCCTTAACGTACAAATTTCATATAACACAGAGTAGAGGCATGGCTAATATGAGACTATAAAGGAGTTATCTATTATCTATTATCTATTGTAAGGTCTTTACCTTACAATATAAAGTGCCTTGAGGTAACTGTTGTTGAGATTTGGCTTTATATAAATCAAACTGAAATTAATTCAACTTGTTATACACACAAGAATGCTTAATGAGGGAATGATGGTGTCCTTTTTGAAATGACAGGGAAGCTGTCTGGAAACTGTAAAAATGAAGCAATGTCAGTCTATGGGACAATTTGTGATTGTTATTTGTGCTTCACAATAAAAATATTTGAAGAGAAATGACAGGGAAGGAGACAGATAGACGTTTTTGCCTTTTTGGAAACTTGACTTTGGTATAATGTACAAAGGTAGAATTTTAGATTTGTTTTATTGTGTCAGCATTTATTTTGATTTGCAAACTATTTCAGTAAAGTAATTTATTTACATAAACGGGTGATTGTGCATCATCTTTGGTGGTTTAACATTTGTAACCCATACATTTTTCTTTTTCTTTCACGACCTTGTATTCAAACCCTAACTTGGGGCAGTACTTACAGGTGGGCCAGGGGGTCCAACCCTTCCTGCAGATCCAGGGAAACCAGTGGGGCCCTGCAAAAAAAAAGAAAAAAGAAAAAAGAGGTGGTTTGAACAGCAACAGAAAATAACAGTGTTTTGAAATGTACTTAATTGTAGGATCAATGGATCTAACCGGTGCTCCCTGTGTTCCTCTTCCTCCTTTCAGCCCAGCAACACCAACTGGCCCCTACAAAAAATGATATCAACATTTCATTAGAACATAATCTCTCAGTGCACGCATGCAGGAAATGTGTGCAACTGACAGATTCTGTTCTAATGAGGAGCAAGCAGGAAGTGAGAACTCGCAGCCAAACTGGATTAACTAAATGCATAGCAATAAATAAGTGGTTTTGGAAATAAAAATGTGTCAGAACAACTACATTATTTTGCAACTCACAGGAGGTCCATGGGCACCAGCCAAGCCCTGTGGCCCAGGAGACCCTGCATCTCCTTTCTGGCCTTGCTCTCCAGGCTCTCCTTTTACTCCAGGTTGGCCATCAGGACCCTGTGAGGTGTAAATGATATTAGCAGAGATGCGTTTCCTCCTTTATCTCCTGTGGCATTGTCAAAGGCATACATATATTTAGCAAAGGGTTTCAGTGTACTTACAGGGGGGCCAGAAAATCCAACAGCACCAATAGGACCAGGGTCACCTCTCGACCCCTGCACCACAAGATAAATGTTTGTATTACTTCGTAATGACCTGCCTTATTTCAGCACAATAAAGCAATACTTAATGTGTAAGATGCAAACACTGGTGAGGTGTACCCACAGGTGTTCCCCTGGATCCTGGTGGTCCAGACGGTCCTTTGGGTCCAGGTTCTCCCTGTAAAGAAGCCACAGGTTTATTGCAATAATTTGGATAACAATTTATTGAGAATCCAGTATTTTTATTGGTGTAAAAGCAGCATGAGGCAAAGAGTTTCCTTCCCAGAGCAGTGGGCCTACTGCTGTCAAACTGCTTTTGTGCTTTATGTGTGTTTTATAAGGACTCTACCTTCTCACCACTGGGTCCTGCAGGTCCTGATGGTCCAATGGGACCTGGTGCTCCCTGTTGACAGGAAAGAAATGTGGTTGGGGATCTTTGCTCATCACCATCACTCATCGTTAACAGAAACTTGTGCAGTCACGTCAGCAAACAGATTTCTTTCAACAAGCATTGACAAGTCTTAAGCTTGTATGGGTACAGCATTAGTTCTGGCTTACGCTCCTGTCACACTCCTTTGTTCACAGGTGAGCTGAGACTAAATGTGTTTGCAGCAAGTCAAAGATGCTTCACTTACTCTTGCGCCATCATTCCCAGCTGTACCTTCAGATCCTTTCTCACCAATTGCTCCCTGAACAAACACAATAAATGAAAAAGTTTTGCAATCACTTTAAAGAGGAATGTAGTCATGAAAAAAACTAAGGCTAAAAGCATTGCAAAAGATTACTACAATTTTTGCAAAGATGATCACATACTTACTCTTTCACCTTTGGGACCAGGAGGACCAGAGATGCCCCTCTCTCCTGGCATTCCCTGAAGACCTGGAGGACCCACGTCACCTAAAGCACCGGTGGGACCAGGGCTACCCTTCAGTGACAAGCATCAAGGTTAATACGAGTTGGCCCAAACTACTCCAGACTTGTGAGTTATACATTGATTATGGTGTATAACAATACCTTTGGCCCATCTGGACCAGGTGCACCAGGAATTCCTTTAGGTCCCTGCAGACCTGTTGGACCCAGTTCTCCTCTCTCCCCAGGAATTCCACGCTCTCCCTAGAAAACAAATATGACCAGTTGAGTCTCAGATAGTCAAACTCCAGCTTGGACTGATTGGAATCAATGCAGTTCACC